TTATATGTTATCGTCGCTTATAATTGCTTGAATGCACAATTTCTATCTATCATTATGCTTCTTCTCAAATGCTAAGTCTTGTAAACCATGGATTTCGTGCTGAGTAGGGGGCAGCTCCAGCCAAGTATCACACCTGGACGTCACGTTGCCTTCTGTCCTCTCAGCTTAATCGTATTTGCCATAGTTTTGCCCATAACCTGGCATTTGATGGTAAGTTTCTGATCGCGAACTGCGTCCACAAACAACTAACATCATACTAAAACGTGATTGTGTAATGGGTTTCCGGTTTCGACCCTAATGGACAGGGTAAGCGTCGAAAGCTGATAAGCACCAGCTGCAAGGATTTCTTGAAAATCTTCCAAATTTTCAGAATTGATAGAGCTTTTTGGATCAAATTTCAAACGGTTTCATACTGCTGTTAACTACTCGGAGTAGTGTTTACCCCATACTGCTCATCCCTCGAAATTCTTGCAACATTTCGATCGCAGTTGTCTCCCTTCCGTTAGATTCGACCCAACCTCGGTCCGAAGGGGTACCACGACCATTTGAACACAAATATCGCCTCTGTTCGAAACGCGTACCGCGGCGCTTGCATCGCAGGCGCCAGCGTCATGGCAAGTTTTGCCTCTAGCGCGAGTAACGCATGTACTAGCCGTTTTCGCGCCATGCCAAGGTGGTATCCATGTTCACGTTTTAAGTAACTTCAGGGGCAGCACTTCTGGTAGACACACCCAAGGGGAGAACATCGATGAAAATCAGTCTGGAATTCCGAAGAGCGGGACACCAAAGGGTTAGTGGTGCATAATGCAAATGGTAGGTGTTGCATTAAATGCTATTTTATTAGGTAGCTGTTGCATTAAATGCTATTTCGATGTCCTAATTCATCGTTGGGCAGGAGGTGGTGTAAGTGAAAAGTTGCGCGCTCACCACTCGTGCGGTTCTGGGATCCAATCCCCGGAAACGCAACTCTGGGGCTACCCTCCGGGACGGTAAATTGGTACCAGATTCGTCTGGGAGGATAAAACACTGACTTGTACATCGGCTGGCCCCCGCAAGTCATTGTATAGGCCACATCGCATTCAATAAGCCACTACGAAAGCTAAATGAAAGTAGTATGCGCAACGCAACATCTCATAAAGGGATTGATCAACGGCGATCTCTATATTCTTTAGCCTTTTAATCCATCGTTTTTTTTTACTTACAGGATAATTTTTTTCATTGTAAGACACAGCACGCTGGTGGTGTGGGCGGAAGTCAGGTCTACATTATGACCTCCTTCATTGGTGCAGTTCTCCTCTTCACCGCTCGAGGGAACGAAGGATGCATTGATGAGAAGGGTGAAACAGTAGGCCTGTCTCCACCCACATGATTAACGTGGACTGTCCTCGCTTTCACAGTTTCACGGCATTTTACTCACAAACTTTCGAAGCAATTTTCAAAGTAATGTAAATTCGGTTTATCTTTTCAGATACAGTATTCGGCGTCACAGCTACAGTATGAAAACATGAAACATCGCTGCAAAATGTTAGATTCGGAGAATCAGCGCCTGATGCGACTCCAAAATGAACTGGTGACGGATGCAAATCGGAAGGGTTGAAGTAAGTGTACAGTTCGTTGCATCTAGTTGACGATGTGGGTAGCGCAGCGGAATTAGGCGGCGCTTCTGCAATCTGATAGGCTCTAAAGTTCGGGTTCTGTGCTCGATCGAGCAGATTTCCATGTCTTCCCAAGTATCCATCAGGTGCCGGTCGGGAGTTCCACTTTGCGGCGCCTCGCACAAGCTGTTAGTATTCTCTAATTGGTTGGCTTGACATGCTGTGGTAATTTTACGTCAAACGAATTAGATCCTGGCGCAGACGCTGCAAACGCGACGCTACTTGCAGAGCTGTTTCGCAGCATTGAAGGTTCTCGACTGGAATCAGTTACTCACGCGATAATCAAGTCGTTTTTATATTGAAATTGTAGATCATAGCTTTTTTGAGCTATTATTGCTGTAGTTGGCACCCTGGACCTTCACTTGACTTCACAATTCCCAGCAATGAACGCATACATGGCGTAGCTTGATAGTTGACGCCACATTCCGTGCTGGTGGTATAGACTCAGAATTTGAACTGCCTCGCTGGTGCGGACCTACTTCAAGGGGAAGGGCTGCACCAGTGTGGAATGCACAGCAGTTCTCCAACCCCACCCATTCTGTTATCGTGGAATGTTCCTTCAATCGATTTGGGGAAAAGTCTGTATGTCTTCATTAGTCTGTGTGCTTTTCAGATGCATGTGAATGAAATTCGTATGCTGAAGGAGGACAATAAAAAGCTGACTGGAGCTAATAAGGTTTATCGATCGTTATTGATTTTTGCACATTTCTATGTTGAAGAGTTATTGTTCAGGAATTGCGAGATTTATGTTGCTGTCCTGATGATGAATCGTCAAAAAACGCCAGTCGTAACTGGACTACAGGAGTGGCAAAAATTCGGACGATGACAGCACACATGTGATGAACAGGTTTAGCTTAATCAATTGCCTTGGGTGGCTATTCACTTTTTTTTGGTCTGTAATCTTCACTTCCAGGAAATTTCCATGTATCAGCAACGATTGCGTGAGCTGGAAGGCCGCCAGACGGAGCTTATCAACGAGAACGAGGAGTTGAAACAACTCTGTTTGTATCTGGATGAACAACGGCAACGCTCTTTTGTCTATCGTACGGAAGACGATCGAGAAAGCGAAGATTTAGGTGAGAAAAAAAATCGCCAAGGAAATCGATTGCTGGTGCTAAGGTCCATTGGTGGAGTAGGCTAGAGTGGGAATGTGGTCAGCGCACCTCTCACCGGCCCTTCCACCAATTAACTTGGGTAGTACCGCCCGCCAGAGCCATCGTGCCCTTTGCCTTTAGCTTTCATGGTAGTTTAGAAGGCTCGGACACGGATAGTGACTACTTAGAGGCAGTTGGCACATGGCTTCCTACTTAGCTAAAATTAGTAGGGCGCTGTATAGTGGGGAAATGGCGAAAGAACGGAGTGAAACGGTCAAAATCCTGCGAAGAAAAAGCCTCCGTTCTCAGTGACTTGTAAATCGATTTCGGACGAGTTTCCCGTAGGCATCTTACCAATCACCGCTACCGAAATACGTTCTGTGCATCAGTGCTTTCGCATGCGTCCGCTTGGAGCCACGCAACCTGGTACTGCGTATTGTCCCTTTTTGGCCACTTTTTTTGCAACAATGTCAAAATTTCGCAAAATGATGTTAGTCCCATCTTGAGGGATCTACTATTTCAACCATTCCTGACCCATTGGTGGCCAATGCCGCCGCCTCTGTGATCACCTGCCCACTTTTTAGCGGCGAAAAATCGTGATTTCCAAAATGTGTGTCATAACTTCTGTTTCTAAGAATTTTCTTGGAATTTTCTGCTTTTCACACATTGCAATGATTCATAGACGGCCACACCGACACATTTCTATCGGAATTTGGTGTCAAAAAATGCTGCGGCCAAAATGGGCCCTCTAGCAAGGCCGAATCCCCACATTGGGGTCGGCAAACATCGGCAAATCGAAACAAGTCAGATAACCTAGCTGTGGACGTTTCTATCACATTCGGTGACAAAGGGGCGCCATTTCATTGCTAGCAGTCTTATGGCCCCAACGATAAATAAGATCTGGCGCCATATGGCGCCAACCACAATAGAATTCACCCGTTCATGATCTTACCCCGGGCGTTCTTAGCAGCCAAAGGTTCCGTCCAAAGGAACTATTTAGGTTACTGCCGCAGGCAGTTACTAGTTGAAGAATTTTCAAATTTTTTATTTTCAAAGTATCCAATGGGAGGCACCAGACATTTCTTTGCTCATTCCTATTGAAGCCTTGCAGCTTTCACTATGGTATTTTCGAAGCAAGAAAAATATCGATTGAGGATGCTGCCATAACCCGGAAAGTGCGAATGGAGAAAGTTTTATGAGCCACCGGTAGGCTCAAGTGTCACAACGTGGCCATCACTTATGAGCCACCGGGGCGGCCTTCAAGTAATGTTCTGTCATCGTGTTAAGACCGCATGCTGCTGGGCGGACTGTTTAAAGGCACATTCGCGATAAAAGAAGAGCTATGACCTCCAAATGATGTCGGATGATCCGAAGGCGATCTGAGGCTGCGCTACTTTCAAAATGTGAAAAACGGCAAGAACTCCGCTAGAAGCTGACTAATTAGGCCCATGGACACCCCTTAGGCCCATGCCGACCCTCACCGGCTGCTAGCTACTAGCTAGTAGCCACTATGTTATCTTTCTCTATAACATTTCGAACTGCTTTCTTCTGCTGCTTTTCTCCGCTAATCAGATACTTAGCACTTTTTTGTGCCTATCTGAGTTCCGTTTCCCGCAATTTGCGGTCGCGAACTGTGCCTTTATTTGCATGCCTTCGATGTTGCATTCTGGAGCGTTCTTTGGCAGCACGCGACCGCAATGCAATGTTTTGCTAGCCGTTTTTAGTTTCATATTATACAGATTCTCCTCAAGGCTAGCTTTTCTATATTTCAAATTTGTTGCAGGATTTTTTAATTAGAATTTCTTGGAGAATTGTGCGAAATTCAGGGTGCGGAAGCAGTGAACGAAGTGAAGATTGTGATGAGACGAAAGATCTTTGTGAAACACCATCCATTAATCAGCAAAAGGTTCGTTTTTTGAATTTCCTACCGTTAAAAATAATTTTTGGATACCCACTTCATGTCAATGGTCTCAGATGGCTACAATAGCAATAACCTGTATTTTTGAGGCGCTTGGCTTGCTTTTCTGCCGTGGCCCAGTCCCTTTAAGGGCACGTTCACGCTGATTTTGTGGGCGAGACAGATTCCAGCCGTTCCTATATGAGACGGTCAAGAGGAATCCACGCTCTGGCAAGGGCGCAAACCAAACTACCAACCGTCAGTTTCCATTAGTAGTTGGTTATTGAAGGAAGAGGACCAAACATGAAGAAGCGGTGGGCCTGATCTCCACCGGCATTTTGATTAGTGTATGAGATTTGTGGCCTCTGAAAGATCCAGATGGCCACCAATTCACAAAAAAATGTAGTGCATTCAAGTTCCTAAACAATCCCAATCCACAACTGCGCCATGCATTCGGGTCCCAACCAGAACCATGAAATTTGATCAAAATTTTGCGATTTTTCAAACGTTTTGCACAAGTTCTGTTGCCCTAACTGTTATTTTTGCAGGAGAATACATTGCGAATGATCAGCCAACGAATAGGGTCGTTCGCAATGAACCAAGTGCCTTCTTCAGACAGTATCGCTCATACGGAACGACTTGTCGACTATATTCAATCGCTAGAAGAGAGAATAAAACAGCTTGAAGGTGCCAGCCGACAAAATGTGAGTCTCGATACGGAACAGTTAGTGAATGCGGTAACAAGGAGGAAGCTTTTCTGAGCTGTATAACATTTGTCCCTGCCAGGTGTCGCGCAAAATAGCCACTCGTCGATACAAAAAAGGCAAAAAATTGCGATGACCGCTATTTCCTTCGAATTATTCCTCAGTTTAGGTCACGTCGGGACGCGCGCGAGAGATAGGGCGCGCACTCCTAGTGGAATATGCACATGCGGAATCCCCCAGCAAAGAGGGTTGTCTTTTGGTCGCCACAGAATAGCGGAGTCCCACTGCGACTGTCTCATGATTTTTTCTTTCATTACCCTTTTCACTGGTTACAAATGCGGTACATACACTCCAATCAACTATGGGAAAAACTCCGGAAAATTGGTAGAAAGTCGGGAGAGAACACTAATGAACATAGTAATGTATAAATGGAGAATGGTAGAGTGGGGGGGGGTGAGAGAAGTAACTTCGGAAAGGGGGAGTATTTTCCAAAATAACTCCCAGGCTCGGGGCCCCTGTTCCATGCGTTTCGTTTGGGTTGCAGTTGACGTCGTTTGAAGGCCATAAAGTGGAAGGTCAAGCTTCATGGGTTTCTCCCCTGTTTCTTTTTTTTTTAGTGGCGCGCAAGCTAAGCGTTAACTAGGTTAAACGATTCTCTAAGAAAGAGGCTCGTTGACCATCTCAAAGAGAAGTTTTGGTAAACTTTGGGGGGGGGGGGGGGGGAAGGGTACTGTCCAGGTCAAATGTACCTTAATGTAATCTTCAAAAGTCACGATTTTTCTAAACTACTTCAAGACACTTTCTGCCCTCTTCATATTTTTTCCGAGAGCGAAGTTCACCGGCTTTCCAAATTAGATCGCCGACTATTCTAGCCAAATCACCTCTTTTTGTAGCCGTATTCAAACGATTTTTCCTGGCTATGTTCACCGATTAAAACGAAGTTTCAAGGGCGTTTGCGAAGCAAAGTTCGCAGACCTTGTCAGTGGATGCACGACTCTTCCAAAAAAAAATTTAACACCGGACTTAGTTCCTAGCAATTTAATAACTTTTTTCGAACAAAGTGCACAGCTTTTCCGATAAAAAAGAAACAGCGGAAACTTGCTTGAAAACTCGTGAATGGTTTTTGAAAGCCGGTGAGGCAGTCTGAAATGGTCTGGAACCTGACGGAGGAGTCATGCACTTTGGTTGAAAAGTCACGCACTGTATTTGAAAGTCGTGAAGTTGGCCGGGAAACTTGTGAACTTCGTTTGAAAAGTCGTGAGCTTGGCTAGAAGAGTCGTGATCCTGGCTAGAGAAGTCGTGCACTTCGTTTGAAAAGCCGTGAACTTCGTTCGAATATGCGTGAGTCATCGAAGAATCGTGATCAGTCCGGCTAGAAAATGTTAATGGCAATTTTTGGATTAAGAAGTGTTTAGGTAGCTGAATTGCAGAATCCAACTGCTGAGCGAGTGCTACAAGGGCTTGTGTAGATGGATCGCGAGGAATCCACTCTGAGCGAGATGTAGCCTTCAGTTGTAGATGGTTCAGATTTCCATTCGCACATGGCTATATTTCAGGGTATTTGGCACTCAGCTTGCACCTTGGGGTCCGACTCAGATGAAAGAACGGTTATTGATCGATGTGAGGAGTTGTCCAACGATGTCCTTTTGAAGAAATGCCGGCTAAACGATCCGAAAGCTATGCAGATCTCTCATTGTAGTAAGTCATGAAAATTAACAATTAGTACGAAAATGTCGAAGCTTAACGGAGGAGAAGGGTTGCTAAACCCGATTCTGGGAACGATTTGGGTACAGGCTAGGAGATCCAAGTTCGGGAAACTAGCTCGGTGTCTGCTGTGACGTAATGACTCATGCTCACTCGGGTCGCATTGCATCTGTGGATATGTGGAACCTACCATGAGTTCGGCTTTTACATCGTATTTTCAGTTTTTTCCATTGTTAGATAATACTAGCATTGGATGATGTATGTCACTCGCCCGCAACGCGAGTTACACAACGCGCTTCGCCTTTTGTAGCCCCAGTTTCGCCGCGCCACCGCAACTCGGATGTCTTGGCCCTCACTTGAACGATTTTTGTCATGTTTTTGAGAATTATACGACAATCTTTGGCCATTCGTAAACAAGGAAAACATATCACTACAGGAATAATCGGCTGTACAGTGCTTAGTTGAACCCTGACCCATAGCTCTTTCTTGTTTTCTGAAAGCTTCCCTTCTACTTTTCAGAGAAAGATTTCACTTTCCAGGCACATTGACCACATCAGGGACGACATATGCCAGCTCAGAGACGGACTTGGAAAGCGCTGTCTACGTCATGGGAGACGAATCTGGTAAAGCCACCTTAGCGTTGCATTTCTCCTACTTTTCATTTTGTTTGACACATTCAGTTTTTAGAATTTCATATTTAATTTGGCGCAGAGGTTCTGGGCGATATCGCGTGAGCGCTAGGTGAAAAAAACCTGAGATTGTACATTTCAACACTCCCTGTCATCTCCTCAGTAGATATAGCCCTCGTAGGCCGTGATCCAAAAGCCTGGGCCTCGTTCATACGTCCCTTCTTTCGATGACAGTAAAGAGCAGCAGTGCCCCAATAAGAAGGGCATAGCCGTAGTTCACACTCCGCCCTACGAGCTGCATGGAATGCGCCTGTGAGGTCCAGTTTGAGTTTTTTTAAGAAGTTGACCAAAAGTTGCCTGGCATTGAAAGAGCGCGGATATTCAATAAGGGCAGGACTGTGGAACTGTGCTGAACAGAGGTGGCGCCAACGCGTGATCGTGAAGCTCGCCTGCGCTGAATGAGACTTCATTGTGGATTGGACGGCTCCATGAACAACATTTGTGTAGGAGGGTGTAGCTGCCCCGTGAGGCTTAATGAATCCATAATGGTTCAACGTTTATTCAAATCCCTTCGCAGTTCTGTACAGGAACCCGGGAGGAAAAGTTGCCGAGTTCTCCACCCATCCGATTATTGCGGAATGTTTTTTTTCAGGCATACAGAGCTCGACCTGGCAATAATCGGATGGGCGGAAGTTGGGTGGGAACTCGGAACCACTGCACCCTCCTCATCGGTGCGCTTCCTGTTCGTTTTTTCCTATAAGGGGGAAGCACGCACCAATGACAGTGACGCAAGGATTGTAGGTCTCCGCTCAGCCCCGCCTACCCTTTTTTCGTGGAATTTGTCTTTGATTTTCTCTTCTTTATGAACACTTATGGTTGCAGATTGTGTAGACGATACGCTCGAAGTGCGTTCATTGACACGAATCGAGGAAGATAGCGAAGGAAAGGAAAACCCCAGTGACGAAGTGGAAGAGCAGAGTGCTCAACTGCCACCTGCGATTGCTCCGCTTAGTGAAAGCCTGGTAACTTTGTACGGCTCAACGCGAATGAAAGCCTTCCTTCCAACCACATCTGATTTCAGCTGAATGTCAGTCGTCTATCGTTGGACGACGCAAAATCGGCGAAAAGTCTTGATTTGACGGTCAAATCAACTTCTCCTGCATTACCCCTGAAAACTTCTTTCCGTGAGTTCAACTCCAACTCTCAAGGTGATCCATCACCTAAGTGGATTTCTTATTGCAGTACGCCGTCCTCGTCCTCTCACCGGCAGAATTTCGTTACTTGGAGCGGCAAAGAAGGCTTCTGAAAGAAGCGTAGCGGAGTGTGGTGCTGTCTAAGGTAAGTGTCCTGAGGTTCTGAGAGCTCCGAAGAGATTTGAAGACACAGTCCACGTTCGCACGTTGTATGTAGTAGGACTCCCAAGCGAAATTAACTAGTCGACTTGGGAACGAAGACAAGTAAACGAAACCTCCGATCATACTCTAGAGAAGGCCCTTTTGATCTCGAACGTTGTACGAAATTTCCGGACTTGCTCGTACAACACCAGCGATTCGATACGACTGCATTTTTTGTGCATCATCTAGCTCAAAATAGATTTCTTTTTACCAGCCTGCCAGTAAAAACTTCCCTCCAACAATCAAAAAAAATCGAGAAAAATAGCATCTGAATGAACATTGTCACTTTTCCGTAGCTCCAGAAACTCCTTGTGCAGAATTCGGGTTACAGTAATCCGACGAACTATTGCACCAAGACCACCGAGAGTACCGCCCCG